CTAGAACGACCCTTGAGGCCAAAAACTGCCATCATGCACACATTAACCGCGGCAATGCCATCCCGACACAACCTCGTCTATTTATGGTGTGTCCATACATACATACATGTAACAACCCAGCTAGTCGATGATGGCTTCTTGGCATGTATCAAGAGCCGGGGATGCCAACCGTACGAAGTGTCCTGAGCGCACACTGAGTCCCCCAAAACGGCATGGCATGGAGGGCTCCGTAAAAGCGCTGCGCGATATCAACATGCGTTATAATACATAGTTGATAAGAGTCTCCTGACTGGTCATGGTCGAGCTCTCCTCGTAAGAGGGGGGTTCGTAAGAATGGCCGAGGTGGAGCCGGGTTCAAGGTGCTCAACTTCCAAATTGGGAAGTCGGCACGGCTCCGTCTCCGTCTCCGGACAAACCGGCCGCCCGAGTACACGGCCAAAGACGCCGCGAGACACAAGGCGGCGTACGGAATAGTCCGCCAACGAGAAGCAGCAGATAAGGGACACGTCGTCGAAATGCTGTCTGGCGTGAGAAATCACGGCAAGAGCATGACAATTTGCGAGACGCTTTCCTTTTAGCGCCGTGACGCATTTCTCTGATGGCGGTATCTGAAGCTACTAATCACTTGGCGCCCGGGATGCCCCTTGCTTGGCCCCAGACGAGACCAGCGGCCCCTGGTGTCTAGAATATCTTGGCGGGAAATGGAAATATGTATGTACATCATTGGCCAAGTGTCGTTTTGGCTTGGAAATAAGCATAATGCCAGTACGAGACTGGCCCAGTTTAACTAACGCCACTTGATGCCACATCGGCCTACTCCATTTCAACTGAGAGTTCAGTTCAACACATGCATGTTGTCTTCATACATCTGCATGTATATGTACTCACGGCACTCCCATGTACTCCGTACAAACCAGATGGCCACGTCAGTGCCACATGCCACATGCCACAATGCAAGCCCAAGCCACGCAGCCATGATGGCCAAAAGTGCCGGCACGACAAACATGCCATTGTCCAAGATAAAAGAGCGCTTATTTTACCCTTGCACAAAGTACTAGCAACAACAGTCCAGCCATGCGAGATGCCACTCTCGGGGTCGCCCGAAGCCGCGAAAATGGGAGCTGGGAGAGTGCTGTGAAACGCTTCGTGTGGGAGGATGCACGATCTACCCGGTCCCACGATTTTGTCACAATTCTGCTATTTTTGGTGCGTTCTTTTGCATCTGCCAATCCCCATTTGCTGACGGGCAGTCTGTCAAGTGTTTCGGCTCCTCCCGCCAAGCTGGAGAGTGCGAAAACGCCCGGCGAGGACTTCTCGTCTGCAGAGAGGATAGTCAACCCCTTGAATCTACACGTCCTCGCGAATCTTGGCTTGTTTCCAACGCCATGTGATGCCGCAGACGTGACGGCTACCAAGAGAACGGTGGCTCTGAGGCTGACCCAGGCTGACTTGCTCCGCGGAGCCGCAGGGCTGATGGTGTTCTTGTATTTTGGACCCTCGACAGATTCGTGAGGCGTAGGAAACTGTCCATCTTCATTTGCCAGAGTCCCGTTCGTCATATGATGTATCCAACGCCGAAAATATTCATCAGTCCATGCTGACGCCTAGAAATACAGGCAAAATCTCCCCGGGCCACTTCAACGGCTTTGGGAAAGACTGGAGAATATCCACGCAGATCACAAGCGGCAGGGACTCTCATATGATCATATCATGGATTTCAGCCTCCCAGATGGCTCATTCGCAGTCATGGCCGCCGGGGGTGAATGTCAGTTGCACCAGTTGACCTTTCTACACGAAAGTCGTCTCCGTCTCAAGCTGACAACCAGCCACACAGTATTATCAAATCGACGCCATCTCTCTTCCTCGTCACAGCCTGCCCCAGTCTCGACCAGTTTCACATCACTCTACCATGTCCCCTTCCTACTTCACGCCTCCGCCAAAAGGGCTGCTATATCCATGTTCTGAAGGGTTTCAAGAACCACGCCCATCATATACTGTTGCTGCTGCTCCTTCTCCGCAGCAAAGCGCACAGCTCCGCTAGCAATATCAGCCAGATCTCTCAACACACAACAGCACTATTCCTCCACCTCCAAGGTAAATACTGCCTTCGAATAGGGTGAATAAAGCCCTTGGCACATGTATCCAAGTTACAGAAGCTCGAACTTTTGCTCCTGGTCACTCTGTGCAGCGCTCTTCAGCATACCTTCCACAAACTCCAAGTCTGCTTGCCCCAGATCCGGCGACTGGCGAGGATCAGGCAGCAACCTCCTCGCTTACCCCAGACGTATAAGCAAATTCCCTGGCTTTTGCTTCAGCACCAATTGCCTTGGCTGTAGTCTTAGTTCCCACAATATGAGTTGCTCCCTTGACATATTCCATTCGATATTCAGACGCCGAATCAAACACAGAGCTCACTGATATCTGGAAACTTTCCAAGGCTCCGGACTTCAATTTGACAATGCCATGCCTCGTATCAATGGGCACTAGATGCCCACAAATCCGACTTGTGGAAGCATGGACCGTTTCCTCAATATATTCTTCCTGGAGAAATAGTGTCGTCCCTGCGGCGAAATACATACCAACATCAAGCAAAGTCGCCCAGAAACTCAGGCTTCGTCCCTCAATATGTGTTGCAGTCCTTTCTGGGTTGTTTCACCAACCTCGTGACGCTGACTTGCTTCAACTTACCCAACTTAGTTCCCTCCTCTTATACGTACACGATATGCACAAAGAAACAATGACTGTTAGTAATGGCAAGTATAGCTCCTCCCTATGAAATAGTATTCTTGGCAAACTCGACAACTTTCTTGGCGCTTGCCATATTTGGGGCACAGGATTTCCTGCAAGGACGTGTTTGCCCGCGGATAAGGCTGCTTCGATATTCTAATCGGGCCAACATCGGTAGAGCGATGATGGCTGCTGCAACATCTTTGCCGAGGAGGTCGTGATGTGTCCTGCCAACTCCTGCATCTATCGAGTAGGGGTCGACAGTGGTTGACCCTGGAAGTCGGCCGGCCGTGTCTTGGGCTGAGTCGAGTGATCTTGAGATGATAGCTTGGAGAGACAAGCTGTTGCATTTCAGAGCGGCTGGCTAACACAATATCAATCTGGTGAGCACACGATAGCGCATTGAAAGCTGTGAGCTTCCTCAGTAGATGCTGTTCTCGAAGATACCACCACCAATGAGGGCAACATCGATAGATGACATGGTGGATGAGTTGAAAGGTGAAACTTGAGGGAGGGAAAATATGCCGTTGATCGGTCAAAAACTGCCAAATGTTTTTGTATAATATATGAACATGTGTATAAGTATCTGGCCCACCCGCTGTATTAAGCAAGGAAGTAAAGCTTCCCCGGAACAGAATAAAGATAATTTTGTTCAGGTAATAGTCGCTTAAGCAACCATCTCTAATGTCAGCCAAAGGACTTCTAAGATATCCCGATATCCCAATGGCAGTCCAGGAAAGTCGTGATCAGAGACTTTCGAGTGTGGGCAAGCCGGGGCGCATGTTGACACCGAGATCATCCGTGTGGCAAATCAACCCAGCAACATCAGTACTGCAGAGACTGAGGTGTGGTCATTGTACCATTCGTGAATTCTGTGCTGTCGATGTCAGCGCCGGGATATGTGAAACGATACCATCTGTGCCAAGTGGGTTTCCGTTCTCGAGGAAATAGTCCAAGAATTTTCTGCAGCATGCCGCTCCTCTCTCAGTCCTCTACTTCCTAGGCACGAGTCCTTCTTGAAGTTACAGCCTCAAGTATATCGCCCAATGCATTGCTTGAATATGGCGTCTTCTATGAGTATGGCTAGCTTGACTGTCTACGCCATGCCTGGCTCTCCGTTGTCGTCTATTTCGGCGGCTTTTTGTTTGCCAAGTCGGTTGGCTTCCCTTGAAACTGGTTCTTGATTTCGTCTAGAAAGTGCCTCAAGAAAGACTGTCTTCGTCCGGTCGCGTTGGGGTCGGCTGATAGCACGTTAGACCTCGCCACCGAAGGCTTTATGCAAAGAGGTGTTACATCTGTACCTGTCGCTTCTCCCGGCGCTAAGGGTTCGTGTGGGTTCCGGCCATGTCTTTGTTCGTGGATTGTTCGATGGATGCGACCGACGGCGCGATGGAATCCGGGCTGCCGAAGGATCTATGCAGACATGTTAGACGACGAAACAGAGCTTCCACCAGTCCCGGGCGGCATACAGCTTCGATGATTCGATCCTATGTCGACTCGGTCAGTATTTGCATTGAGGCCATGTCCGGGTTGGTCACACCTCAAAGGCCTGGACAAGGCGCAGGGCCCAAAGATACGGAGACATAGCCGCGGTCCTGTCTATTAGACAGTCCTCGGTTTCCTGGGCCTATCCGTTCTTGTCGCGGGGTGACGAGCTTGGCTCTCTTTGCGATCCGTTGGGATGGTGGCGATGCGAAGTCTAGGTTGTCGAATGCAGAGGTGTTGGCGAAGGTACATTTGACATTTGGGTCGGTCGTCAGAGCTCCGACTTTCCGTGACAACAACGGATTGTTCAATGCCTCACAAAACTGGCCCCGGCATCAGGCCAAAGGCATACTACCCATGTCTCGCCCGCAAACTGACGCGAAAAGGTAATTTTCGGCCGCATTCAATTGATCGACATCACTACACTGGTCTTCCTTAACTCACTCTGTGCCACGCTGCCTACTCGATGGTGCCATACTGACTACCGTCCTGCACATCTCACGTCACATGTTACACGTCACTAACAAATACTTGGGTAGTTGGCTTTGGGCCCAGATTCAGGACGGCGAATCAATTGCATTGGTTTTATTCCTAAGCCTATTTTCAACAACCCATCCCCCAGCCCTTGAACTCAACGTGGAGTACAATGGACTAAAAACCCAGATCTGCCACATAATCTTCAACGCCTTTTGGGGGTATTTTTCGCTCCATCACTCGTTACACGTTGTCTGTCTCCGTTTTGGAGAGCCCCGTACAGAGAGACAAACCTGGCGCTAATCTCCAGATGCTTACTCAGAGACGTGCTTTCCGATGAAAGGAGTGAGATAGTCCATCTTGCCCAGAGGGACGCCCTCCTTGCGCAAGATGTTGTAAGCGGTGACGAGGTGGAAGAACAGGTTCGGGATGGCATAGCCGGTGACGTAGGCATGGCTGGGGAGCTCAGCATTCTTGCCAGGCCCCAGGCCGATGGGGACGAGGTCGCCAACTCGCTTGTTGACGACTTCTTTGTCAGTCTTGGTCAAAAGCTCCTGGACCTGGTCGATTCGTTTGTAAAAGTCGTCAAAGGTCTTGAGGTCATTCTCGAGCTTCTGCGGCTCGGCGCCAGTGCTGCGGGCCACCATCTTTTGAGCAATATCCGAGACAACATGAACCTGGAAGCTCAGGGGCAGCATGTCCTCGTGGATGCGGGCATCAGGGAGACTAGCAGCGTTGGGAGCAGCCTCGGCCTTCTTGAGGATTGCCTTCAGAGAGGTAAGATTATCCTGGGCAGTGGCGATGGAGCCGTCGTAAAGAGTGTATGACATGGTGACTGAGGGTCTGCGTGTATGTGCGGTGGTGGTGATTTATTTAGGTCTTGAAAGCAGCTGATGAAATTGCGTTTGATTGCGTGATAATGACAAGCTCTGGACTCAAGGATGGTGGCAAACAGACGTCTTATATATTTGTGTCCCAAGTCCCCTAGTTCCTTCCGTCTGTCAGGCAGTATACCTTCCTTTTACTTGGCCGTTGGGACGAGCTTTACAACGACAATCTGTTTGACCGCCCCTCATTCCCCCACTTCGTCCCAACACCATGCTACTCCATGCGGGACGCTCCTAGCCACGATCTGTTTCGGCCCTCAAGAGGCACCGTACACCGAGGTTTTTCTTTTACTAATGCCCTCACATAACGGGTTGGCCGTCAGCACAGCTAAACCAGCCTCGCCAGAAGTGGATTTGCTGCAGGTGAGCTGACTAATTGGAAGCTCATCGAAAGTCGACAATCAATCACCCCGGCCGTGACGTGCGGAGTTTGGCGTGTCCTGCGGGCTGGAGCCATTGGAGCCGCACGAAGCAAGCCATGCAGGCATCAATTGGATCAGAAGCTGGTGAGACGATGGCTATACCACGTCCTGCATCAGCAGGCATAACGATGATTACAAAACACAAAAAAGACAAAGGAGGTGCTGCTAAACAGTAAAGGTCTGTCGGTGGGCCTGGGCTTTTCAACAAATTCGCTGGATTCTATTGGCGCAAACGACCATGAGTTTTCAGCCATGTTCTCATTCTCCATCCGGCGGAAAGCTTCAGTCAGGTTACTGCATCAGCATTGATACCGGTTTTCACGGCCACGGAAGCTCAGACACTTGATCTGCACACCATTTCGGGCCATAAGAGATGCCGATGTCCAGTACGTGAGCTCGGAGGTGGACCAGTTGATTACACAATTCCGTTGGCCTGCTATATACGTTGGTTTCTCACGCTGATGCCACGTCTTCAGACTCTTCACCTTACACTCGCGATACATGGGGTGTTTCCAGATTCGCTGCCAGACAGGCATCGATTCGATCAGGCGGTATATCCGTAGAGGGCCACGGGACTGGCTGACAAACCGCGATATTCAATGTTCATATTGGTCGGCCGGCACACCCCAAACTTGTTATTGGCTGTTCTTGGACCCGTCTCGGCTTCAAGCTCGCATTCGGATGCTCTATGAGCAAGTTCGAAACTAGGCGCCACAACACGAATCAATCATCGTGAATGATTTAGAGCTAACTCGCGTATCTCGTGAACATGAGTTTCACTTTTTCTGTGATTGAAATGGGCTTTCTGTTCTAAACCTCCCTTCGGTCTCTTGCTCGTTCGCCACTTGATCGCCTGGTACCCTCTCCTAAGCCAGAGAACGTGGCTTGCTAACTGCAAAGGTTTCTGTCGGCGCCATGATATCGGGCTTCGTGCTAAAGTGCACAGCCATCATTAACGTCACCGGAACTACACGTTCTATGATGGGTATGGAAACATGGGATATTCAGGCAGACTGGCCGTGGCAGTCACGTTTCTGAATATTTCCAATAATCGGTTGCCACCATCAGATTTCGTGATGGTGGGAACAGGTCGGATATACGGTACAAGGGAATGCGATGGGGCTGCTCAAGTTTTGTTACATCGTTTGGAATAAGACTTGCGAGGCATATGGTGGTTTTACGGTAAGCCACTTCAACTCGGGGAGTGGATTCTGCTATTCATCTTATACGTCAAGTACCAAATTGGTGACGACAAACTTTCAAAGACATTGATTCTCTCTTAGTGTCGGTTTCGCGTCAGAATCCCAAGGTGACATTTGCCCTTTCCACAACCTCTCTTTCGCCAGGCGAAGCACCGTCCCGGACTTCAATCTTGTCAAGGCCAAACGCTTGGCGTCCAAGGTCATTTGTCCAGCTACGCAACATATCTTCGGTCGGTCGGCCGATGTGCCGAGATTCGCCCTCGCCACCAGGGAAATCCGGCCCTGGTGTTCCGTCACGAAAGGCCTGTCGCTGGCGCGCAATATATGCGGCATTGATGTCCGTCACGGGGCATACGGGAATATACATGACACTGGAATCTCCGCGGCCGCCGTGGACCTTGTCGACGGAATGGATAGCTGTACGACATCAGCAAGGGGGGGGCAGGCAGGGGGAAGTTGGGTGTAAGTGGACTTACTGTCACAATGCCATGCAACGAAATCACCAGGCTTGATTTTTGGCACATGGACCATGGTTCGCTCCAGCTCAAGATGCGGGTGCAGCTCGTCGGTGAGTTCCTGTCCATGGCCAGGTGAAGCACCTTGCAATTCGCTGCTCATATCAGCCTCACCAATCAACTTCCAGTTGCTCTCGTCGAGGAATGCCGTCGACGTCTTGGATTCGTTCAACGGGGCGAAGAATGGGCGAAGCAGCACATAAGCCGTTGCCATGTGCATAAGAGGGTTGACCAACAGAGTTCCCTCGCGAGGCCCAGATTCGCTCATGCTCATCCAGCCTTGCCACATTCTGAACATGGTGCAGGCGCCTAGGCCATCGTACAAGTTGTTGACTGCTCGGACGCGGCCACTGGCGTCCCACGGGTCGTACTTTTCCCAGTCTCCTTGCAAGATTCTATCATAGACGCCGCCAAGCCCGTATCCGTTCCTCTCCCATCTCTCCACGCTGCCGCCGTCAATGTGCGGGCCCAGCGCAAACGTAGCATCGCCCGGCTGTCGGATGCGCAACCGATCGGCGTAGGAAAGAGGATTCTGCAGAGATATCTGCGCTTGATCCGACGAGGTATGCCAGAGTAAAGACATGAGACGGTGTTGTACACGCAATAGGGACGGGTGTGAGCGGGCCTTGAGCTGCGGCGCAGACCAGTACAGCTCGTATACTTGCGGGTTGTCCGCCGGAAACGCTTCCAAGCCCTGTTAGCATATACAGACCTACTTCTAGCAATTAGAACAAGCTTCTGCATAGATGCTCACCTCGAGTCCACGGATTCCTCTTTACATAGTCCTCAATCTCCTCCTTGTAAGCCCTTGCCTCGCTCTCGGGAATCACCCCCCTGACGACAATGGCACCACGTTTCTTAATCTCCTCTTTCAGCCCTTCACACCCCGCATCCAAGTCAGCAAAGTTGACCTGAGGGATGACGTCTGATCCTTTTTGGGCAATGATCTCATTCTCTGCCCTCAACCGCCGGAGCAGTCTCGTCCAGCTATCAGCAATCTGCCTCTCCCTGCCCCTGACCAAGTCACACTTTAGTTTTCGAAAGCGGTCTGGAAGAGGCGGCCGCCTGGCGCCAGACAAGGAGACAAAGGCATCAGAGATGTCTCCTTCCTTCTTTACGGCTTTTTGCGCCGTCGCCGTAGAGGCAGCTCTCGTGAGTGCCGGGGAACGCCGGGCGATCTTGGCTACAGAGGGTGGTAACATGGTGACGATGCACAGCACACAATTTGGAATCAAAATAACTGCATACAGTTGAAGAGGAACAGATGACCCCAGAAAAACAAGCCGAACAACCACTCCAATAAATAGTAAATATTCAGCCCCAGAGACTTTCGTCACGAGCTCTACTACAGCCGTGTAAGTGGCGCGGTGTTTCCTTTTCGGGAAGTCCGCACCCCGCTTGGCATAAACCAGACTTGCCAGACGCTGGACAGCTATCTCGGCGTGAAAACATGGTAAATCCTTCCGACAATTCGGAACTGCAACAAGTAGAAGGCTCATGCCCAATAATGAATATTGTGCCAACTCGAGGCATTGTGAGCGCCTTGGTCGGCCAAGAATACACACATGGTAGTTTGCACACGAGACCCCTCCAAGTCCCCAACTCGCCTCCAAACACGCCATCAACATCATCGACACTCTAGACGCAGAAAAGCAAGCCAAAGAAACGAGACGCGCAGAAAAATGGCCCAGCCCGTAAAAGTCAAAGTCTCGCTGCCCATGCTCGCCGCCCACATCGACCACTCCCTCCTCCACCCCACCCTCACCGACGCCCAAATCACCACGGGCCTCCTCCTCTGCAAACAGCACGCGGTGGCAAGCGCCTGCGTGAAGCCGTGCTCGGTGCCGCTCGCCGCCGAGGTGCTCGCCGGCTCCCCGGTCAAGGTATGCGCCGCGGTGGGCTTCCCGCACGGCAGCTCGACGGCGGCGACCAAGATGGCCGAGACGGTCGAGGCGCTCGACGCGGGCGCCGCCGAGATCGACATGGTCGTCAACGTCGGCAAGGCCCTCGGCCGCCAGTGGCACTACGTCGAGCACGAGGTCAACGCCATCAACCGCATCGTCACGACGAGGGGCGCCGTGCTCAAGGTCATTTTCGAAACCGACTACCTGCAGCACGAGCACATCCGCAAGCTGTGCGAGATTTGTACCGAGCTGGGCGTCGGCTTCGTCAAGACGAGCACCGGGTACGGCTTCGTGAGGCGCGACAATGGCATGTACAGCTACGAGGGGGCCACGACGCCGCACCTCAAGCTGATGAGGGCGTCGGCCGGGCCAGAGGTGCAGATCAAGGCGGCCGGGGGCGTGAGGACGCTGGACGACGTGCTGCACGTCATGAGCCTCGGGGTGACGAGGGTGGGCGCGACTGCTACCGAGGCCATCTTGGAGGAGGCGAGAGCGAGAGGCATAGGCGACGAGGAAATCGAGGTCGAGGTTCGGCGGAGCGATGGCACCAACGGAGGCGGAGCTTCGTGCTAGCTACTACTTTTCCGTGGATGATGCAGACAGATACGGTCCTCGTGTCTGTGCCGAGAACTCACTACCGTTTTGAGAAATACACTGCGCAGCGAGGAGATGATAGACGTCGTAGCCACTCATAAAAACATTCATTACCCAAAAATACGACCACCTTTGCTACCCTCTTCCAACACCCTACAGTCACAAAACATGCTGCAAATTTAAACTCGTCATCGCTGCCCAGCCAAAGAAGAAGAAAAAGAAGAAGCCTACTGTACATTACGGACAGGACTGGTGGGGAAACCAAGTGCTGCCAGAGTAAAAAAGAGAAAACGGGGGGTTTGTTGC